CACTGCGCGGGGGGCGATGTAAGGGAGGCCACTGCATGTTCAATGGACTGAGCGCACGGCGGCCTTATATGATGATGGTGATGATGATGATGATGATGATGATGATGATGATGAGGATGAGGATGAGGATGATGATGATGATGATGATGATGGTGGTGGTGATGATGACGATGATGATGATGATAATGATGATGATGCTGATGATGATGATGATGATGATGATGATGGCTATGGTGATGATGATGACAATGCTGACGACGATGATGCTGATGACGACGATGATGATGATGATGGAGTTGATGATGACGGTGATGATGATGACGATGCTGCAAATGTTGATGATGTTGATGCTGGTGATGATGATGGTGGTGGTGATGATGACGATGACGATGATGATACTGATGGTGTTGTTGTTGATGATGTTAGGTGATGATGATGACGATTGTAATGGCGATGATGACGATGACGATGACGATGATGATGACGATTATGCTGATGATGATGCTGATGATGGTGATGATGCTGATGATGATAATGATAATGATGATGGTGATGATGATGATGATGCTGATGATGATGATGATGATGATGATGATGATGATTATGATGATGGTGATGATGTTGATGCTGATACTGATTATGATGGTAGTGGCGATGCTGCTGCTGATGGCGATGCTATTAATGCCGAGGAGGAGGAAGAGGAGGAGGAGGAGGAGGAGGAAGAGATAACTGGACAGAGCGGGAGTGAGGAAAGGGGGAAGAGGAGCAGGAGGAGGAGGAGGAGGAGGAGGAGGAGGAGGAGGAGGAGGAGGAGGAGGAGGAGGAGGAGAGGGAGGAGGAGAAGGAAATGGAAGCAGCAGAAGAAAACATAGAGAAACAACAAGATGAGGACGAGGAGGAGGAGGAGAAGCAGGAGGACGAGGAGGATGAGGAGGCGGAGGAGGAGGACGACGAGGAAAGGGAGACAGACGAGGAGGAAGAGGAGGAGATGTAGGAGGAGGCGGAAGAGGATGAGGCGGAGGAGGATGATAAGAAGGAATACGAGGCGACGAGGACGAGGAGGATGATGAGGAGGAGGGAGGTCGGGCGAAGGAGGAGGGGGAAGAAGAGGAGATATTAGAATGAGGGGGAGTGAGGGAGCGGGGGAGAGGAGGGTGGGGGAGGAGGAAAAGCAGGAGGAGGATTATGAGGAGGCGGAGGAGGAGGAGGAGGAGGAGGAGGAGGAGGAGGGGGAGAAGGAGGACGAGGAGGAGGAGGAGGACGCGAAGGGGGAGGGAGGAGCAGGAAGAGCGCGGACGAGGAGGACGAGGTAGGGGAAGTCAGGCGGAGAACGAAGGGAAGGAGAGCAGCAATTGGTTGGCTGGACCCGTGCGAAAAGATGGGAAGAGGATTGGAGATGAAGTGTAGGCGGAGCAGAAGCCTTCGCACCCTGGCGATTTTGTGGATCGCGGACGCTTGTACTGGCCCCCATGGCTGCCTGCTTGCGTCGCCCGTGTTCGAGATCGAGCTCGGGACGTCTGTCTTGCGCGCCTGCCTGAGCACGCATTGCTGACGCTGCAAGTGCGTGTCCACCGACCACCGTGCTCAAGAGAAGGATGAGCGGAATGAAGACGCGGGAGAGAGGCAGAGAGAGGGGGAGAGGGAGGAACATGATCCCTCCGCGGTGTGCTCCTATCCCCCCCGCCCCTGGGCTCTCTCCCTCCCTGCCCCCCCCCCCTATATTTGCGTTCTCTCCCTCCCTGGGCCCCCTCCGTCTCTCCGTGGCGCCGCCCCCCTCCTTCGATCTCCCTGCCCCTGCCCCCCCACTCCAGACCCCTTGATCCCCAGCCGCGCCTCGCCCCAACAAATGGATCGTAGGGATCATGCACCACCTCCACCATCGCTGTCCCTTCCCCCTCCCTCTCATGATCGTCCTCCTCATCCTCATCGTCCTTCTCATTCCCCTCATCCGCCTCCTCCTCCTCCTCCTTCCCCTCCTCCTCATCATCATACTCAGCAGCAGCACCAGCATCACCGCCATCAGCGTCATCCTCCTCCTCATCATCAGCATCAGCATCAGCATCCTCATCGGCACCATCACCATCACCGGTATCAGGATCATCAACATCATCATTAGCAGCAGCGATATCATCAGCACCGTCATCATCAGCATCGTCATCGTCAGCATCAACATCCTCATCATCACAACCACCACGGTCATGCTCCTCCTCCTCCTCCTTCTTCTCCTCCTCCTCCTTCTCAGCATCATCAGCATCATCGTCACCACCACCACCAGGCGAACCACCACCACCAGCACCAGCACCATCAACATCATCATCGGAACCAGCGTCATCATCATCATCATCATCAGCATCATCAGCGTCACCATCACTATCAGTTTCATCAAAAACATCATCATCGTCATCATCATCAGCATCATCATATCCATCAGCAGCATCACCACCACCACCATAATCATCACCAGCATCATCACCATCGTCATCATTATCGTGATCGTCACCAGCATCAGCACCAGCATCAGCATCATCAGCATCGACAGCATCAGCAGTACCATCATCAGCATCGCCATCATCGTCACCATCACCATCACCATCACCATCACCACCACCACCACCACCATCATCATCATCATCATCATCATCATCATCATCATCATCACAATCAGCATGAGCATGAGCATCAGCATCATCATCAGTACCAGCATCATCATCAAAACCAACATCATCATCAGCATCATCAACAACATCAACCTCATCATCATCACCGTCAACGGAGAGCGTGGCCAAGCGAGCTGTCCCCAAACTGTCTCGAGCACCCCCTCATCGATGACCGCGGGCGGTCGGCTCGCCGTTACGCACACGGCGAAACGCGCTTAGCTTGCACTGGGCTGAACCCTTTCGGGCACACCCTCACATGAACTAGGAACCGTGGATCTGGCACGTGTGCCCCAGATCCACGAACCAGACAATACCCCCAGAAACCTGATGCTTCTGCCGCCTCATCTGGCCACCGAGCGCGCCAATGGCGCTCGGAAGCCAGACCCGTCGCTAATCCACGCGCTTGCATCCATGCGTGCGCTTCTTCGAGCTCCGACTGCACAGATCCTCGTGCTCCTTCGCGTCCCCCTCGGGACATCTCGACGAGCATCCCCCACCGAAACGTCCAGGGCTTCGGATCGAGCACCCTCTCGACGGGCGCGAACGGTCGAATGGCCGTCGTGCGGAACGCGAAACGTGCTCAGCCTGCATTGGACTGAACGCTCTGGATGCACAGATCCCCTTCGTCCTTCTCGCCCCCTTCGACCTTCGGGACCTCTCAACGATCACTCCTCTCGTCGCTGCCAGCGTTGCAGATCACGCACCTCTCTTGGCGAGCGCGACAAGTCGACTCGCCGTCGTGGATTGGGCAAGGCGTACTCCGCTTGCCTTGGGTTAAACGCTTCGGCTGCACTTCTCCTCCACATCCTCCTGCTGGAGAGTACGGCCTCGTTCGCCTGGTCCCAGATAGGTCTGGACACATGTCCGCGCTAGTGGTCATTCGTTCGTTCGTTCCTCCTCGTTCTCCTCCGTCTCGTCCCTCCCTCGCCCCAGCTACTCCCGGACGCCTCCCGGTCTCTTCCCCCCCCTCTCCTGCAGCTCCCACGCAATCGAGACCCCCTCGCCAGCCCAGACTGGCCATCTTCATCGGCAGACCAAGCTGCAATTGCGTTCTTCGTCTGGCGAGTGAACAACGGCCAACAGCCGAGAAGGAAGAGGAGAAGCAGGAGTAGGACCAGAATGAGCAGGCAAGGAGAGGGTTTGGGAATAGTGGGGGATGGGGAACAGAAAGGAGAAGATGAGGAAGATGAAGATGAGGAGGACGGAGAGAACGAGGCCTAGGAGGAGCCGCGATTGCGACTGTGATCGTTCCTGGCGCGGCCAGGGCGGAGCCGCCGTCGAGAGGAGGATGAACACGGCTGGGCAAGGGAGGAGCGGGCCGAGCACGACGAGAAGGAGGAGGAGGAGGTTGAGGAGAGTGCTGCGAGGAGAGGGAGGAGGACTGCGGGAAGAGAAGGAGGAGCCAGTCTGGCCTGGCTCGCACGGGGCGGGGCAGGGGTGCTAGTGTTCGGTTTCGGCTCGGGGCCAGGCATGTTCGGCGAGCGTCGGGGAGCATCCCTCTCTCGAGCCCCCCCCTGGCTCCCCATCCTCCACACTTCGCCTGGATCTTTGGCAACTCATGGGAGCCTCCCATGTCATCATGCCGGCTCCTGCGAATCGACGCTGGCCGACGCTGATCGACGCTACGACGCTAACTCGACGTCAACTCGGCGTTGGCCCGTCGGTTGCCAGACGCCGGCGCACGCTTATGCACTGCAAAATTGGACTGCGAGGACATGCAAGGCTCCAACAAGTAGCGGCCGATCGCCCTCGTTGGGCTGGTCGCATCAAACGGGTGCCGTACTCACGAACGTGCCCTGAAAGCCGACGTCCTGCGCCACGAATGAGCAACGCCCTGCCGCAAGCACTGGTTCTCCCCCCCCTCACCCTCTCCCCTCCCCCTCTCCCTATTCCTCCCACCTTCCCCATTCCCCTCCTCCAACCTGCTCCCCCTTCTCCTGGGCCTACCCTCTCTCTTGGAGCAATGCCAAGGGTCCACCAGGGGGGGGGCCACTTCCCCGAGGAGCCGCTAGTTCCTCGAGGGAGTGGGCCCCGACGAACACCCCGAAGCCCCCCAGGACCACAAGCGTTCCAGAGACTCCTCGAGCTTCGAGCCCAGAGAGCCTCGATGTTCGGAAGGAGCTGGTGACCCCCCCTGGCGGGACCCCCCTCCCCCCTGGAACTGCCCGACTCTCCCTCCCCCCTCTCTCCCTTCCTCCTCCCTCCCCAGCCCCTTCTCCTCCCTCCCTCTCCCCATCCCCCCCCCTCCCTCCCTCTCCCCCCCTCCCTCCCCATCAACATCCCTCCCTCTCCCATCACCGCCCCGAGCGTTCGCATCCATGTGCTGCCCCCCCCCCTGCTCGCCTAGCCGAAAGCGTCGGGACGTCGGCTGGGGAGCGCGGTGGCCCTCCAGGGGAGGGGCAGGCCGAGGGGGGCAAGGAGGTGCAGAGTCCAAGGGCTCCCAACTTCGCGCTTCGCGCTGCGCGAAGCGCGAATCACCCTCGCGCTCTCGCGCCGCCCCCCACAAGGGAGAAGAGGAGGACGAGGAGGAGGGGGAGAAGGAACGAGGACCGCGAAGCGCGAAGAACTTCGCGCCCTCGTGGGAGCCCTCGAGGTTCGGAGGGACTGCTGGCGCTGCCGCAGGACGAACGAGGGGACGCACGAGTGTCGCATCGGGGGGCAGGCAGAGAAGGGAGACTTGACAAGGCAGGTGCAACGCAAGATGGAGGCCGGCTGGACACGGGGTGACAGGACGGGCCCCCATGGATGCGGAGAGATCGGCAGCTTTGAAGGGGCCCTGGGACACACAAATAAATACACAGAAATAAAGCTATTCCCTATATTTTCTCATATTTTCGGGTTTTTGTCTTCCCCCCCACTTCCCATATTTTCCCATATTTTCTTGGGAATCGACGATTAATCATGTCTGTGTGTTTCTTTCACTCCTGAAGCTTCTGGGAGGTGGAAGGGTGCCGGTGGTGCCCTCACTAGGAGTCCACCACCTGCAACGCACGCTGCAGACAGAGGCGATCCAGCCTCCGGGTCGGCCTCCCCATGCGACTGGCGCTGGAAAGGCAGCGTGAACACCGATCTCCGAACACGAGGCCGTCTCTGTGGGGCGGTGTCCCCTCGAGAGCCCCTTCCGTGCGCGGGACCTCCCTGCGGGCAAGATTTATATCCATATCCAATGCGCCTTCGATTTTTGGGGAAGGGGCGCCATCATATCCAGTGCGCCTCGGGTTTCTGGGGAAGGGAGCCCGGAACTCCATACCGCAGTGGATGTGGACATAAGTACTGCTCGCACTCCCTGCCAATGCCTCTGCGGCGCACGGTATGCCCGAGGTGGGGGAGCACGTGTACTGTCGCAGGCCCAGAGATTGACACCAACACCGACTCCGGCGGCGTGCCTCCACCGAGGGAAGAAGATCCCGACCTCGGTGATGGCGGCAACATTCTGGCTTCCAAGGTGGCCGAACTATTACCACCAACACCGAAAATTCGGGGATGGACAGACCCCCCTTTAGTAAAACGTGGTTTAGTGAAAACGACCTGAGGCCCAAACTTGGCGGGCGCAAGCCTGGAAAATAACGGCCACGGCGCCGTCTCGAGAACCGAAGAAGGACAATTCACTAATCGACGTGTCACTGTTGGGGGTTCTGTCCACCCCCGATAGGACCATCTTCCCCCTGTGGCGGCAACCCTCTGTTCTGGTGTTGGTGCCAATCGCCAGGCCTCCGATATACTGCGCGGGCCGGCGGCGCCACATATCGCATGCCGTGCATCCAGCGCATCGGCCGTGCATCGATATCGTCAGAGACTGCCCCCGCCTCTCGCGGGGCGAGGCGGCACCGCAGCGGCACCGAGGCCTCTCGCGGCCACGCCCGCGCGAGCCTGTGTTAGGGGGCCCCACGCGAACCCTACCCCTACCCCCCACGATTCTTGGAGGGGAGGGTGGGGTTCCCTTCGCTCGGGACCTCCCGAATGAAGGGAACCCCACCCTCCCCCTCGTAAATCGTGGGGGGTAGGGGTAGGGTTCGCGTGTGGCCCCCTATGTGTCTCACGCCTCCGGGGCCGCAGGCGTGCCGTCATACGGACGCCCCCTTGCACCGCAAAGGGGGTGGCGAGCTGCCCTGGAGCCCACCCACGGTGAGGGCATCGGGTGAGGGAGGGACCCAGTAGGCCCTGAATCGGCGGTGGACAAACCTCCCTTTAGTAGACATCCCCTTAGTGAAAGCGGCCTGGGACCGAAGCCGACGGACCTGGACCCGCACACATGACGGCCGCGGCGCCCTCTCGCGAACCGAGAACGGCCAATTCCTGAATCGACGGTGTCGGGGTAGGAGGTCTACCCACCTCCGACTGAAGCCGGTGGAACCCCAATCGTGGACTGGCTGTGGACATCACCGCCGCCCGCATCAGGCAGGGAAGCCTTCGGGAGCGGCAAAAAGGGGGTCGTCAAAGAGGGGGGGGGTGCAAATCATGACCCGCGGCATGTGCGCGGCCCAGCGGGGGGGCCAGGGACGTCATGAAATAAGAAGAGGCGCCATGAAATCTGGGGAAATATCATGGCCCGCGCCATGATATCCACCCCCCCCTAGTCATCACCCCCCTCTTTTCCGCCCCCGAAGCCTCCAGGGCCCGAAGCCTCCCGGGCACGCCCCTCGGCGAAGGCCCCCGCCGTGGCCATCGGCCCCCTCCGCCCGTGGACGGGCCCCCGGCACCTGCGGGCCCCGAGGGCGGCCGTGTCTGCAGAGCGCCGCTCCCGGAGGAGACCACACCTCCGACAACTGTGGCTGGTCTTCGGGCAGGGACCGACCGTCCCGGCAGCCCAGTGGGCCTACCACGAACTGTTTTGAGAGCCCCCAGGAAGGCCCTCGTCGTCACGGCTGGGATCGCCGTAGGATCCTGAACCCTGGGGGTTGTGTGGGGGGCGGATTTTCAGGTGGAGACGAGGAATAGGTCTTCAAGAACATGCCTTTCATCTCACCGATGTAAAACACTACACGCCGGTGAGGAGGATGAGAAACAAAACGAGGTGGAGAAGGGAGGGAGGAGAAGGAGGACAACAAAGGAGGACAGCGCAATCTGGAAGATGTTTGGGCCACAGCGAGGGGAGAAGGGGGAGGATGGAGGAAAGGGAGGGAAGACGGGGGGTGAGGAGAAAAATGACCAGCGAGGAGAGACAGCGGAGAGGAGAGGAGGATGATCATTTCGACCATAATCCAACCAGCCCTCTGAACGCAGGTGGCTTAGGAAGTTTATGATCTGGACCATCGTCCCTCCTAGGAGGTGCTAATCACTGCTCCCTAGAACCACCCCGAACCCATGCCACCTAACCCCAAACACCCTTCTCGAACAAGACTGCAAAATACACTTAACCTCCAAATCAGGAATATGCGCAGCCGCCCCGCGACCACTTTGTATGGGCTTTCGAATATGGCAGCAAAGGCGCTTCATATTGCTTGCTGCGCGCGAACCAACCTTCCGTGTCGAATTACTCGACGCGGATGTCCCCATGTGCGCATCTCATATTCCTGTCACGTCCCGCTGAGGAAGTCTGCCTGTGAGCATCTGGGTGTGAGGGCGAGCCCGCGTAGACGACGGGCGCGACGACAACGACGACAACCACGACTTCAATAACGCCAGAGACGACGTTGGATATTTTCCCAGAGACGAGGGAAACACAAGTAAAGCGCACGGGAGCATTGAACAATCAGAACAGAGAAGACTGTAAGTGGATCAGAGTGTGAGTGATATGTGTGTGTGAGTGAGTCTGATTGTGAATGAACCCAGTCATGACAGAGTTCGAGTGTGAGTGAGTCCAGATATAGAAGAGTTTGGGTACGCGCGCGTCTGAACATGAGCGAGTCTGGATATGAATTAGTTTCAGTGTGAGTGAGTCTGAGTGTAAGTCAGTCTGAATGTGAGTGCGTCTGAGTATGCGTTTGGCGCGTCTGCGTCTGAATTGCGGGAGTCTGAGCGTGAGATGCGCCTGAGTGCGAGAGAGTCTGAGTGTGTGTGTGTGTCGGGGTATCAACGAATCCGAGTGTGAGCGGATTTGAGTCTGAGAGTCTGGGTATGAGTGAGTCTGAGTGTGAGTGAGTCTGAATGTCAGTGGGTCTGGGTATGAGTGTCTGAGTATGGGTGGGTCTGCGTGTGAGTGCGTCTGGGTGAGGAAGAAGCGGAGGAGGGAGATGAGGAGACGTGAGTGATCTGAGCATGAGTGATTTGAGTGTAAGCGAGTTTGAGTGTGAGTGAACCGAAAAATTGAGATTGAGTTTCGGCGAGTCTAGGCATGAAGGAGTCTGGCTACGGGCGCGTCTGAGTATGAGTGAGTCTGAGTACGAGTGGGTCTGAGTGTGACAGAGTCTAAATGTAAACAAGTCTGAATGTGAGTGGGTTTGAATATGAGTGACGAGTCTGAGTCTATGAGCATTGGTTTAACAATCTGAACCTCTTGGCAATGCAAGTCCTGTGGATGGCAGCGGAAATCAGCCGTTTGCCAAATTCCCGCCGCTTGCAACGACAGGCTGCCCTTGCATAGAAGTGTTTGGCCCTCGTCTCGGACAGTTGAGACATGTGCAACGGCAGGCCGCTCTTGCACTAAAGTGTCCAGCCCTCCTCCCCCACCCACACACCCACCCCCTCCCGCATCCTCCCCCCTGGCCACGGCATGCTGGGAGATACAACAGCGCTCACACTTGACAACTTGAAGAAGGGGCAGGATGAAGGGAGAAGGAGAGGAGGTATTGGAAATGATTCTGCCCCCCTCGAGGCCAAAGTCCAGCCTCAGAGCACGGATGGACCGGCCGCGCACGCACACTACTTCACGTACGGAGATGGTGCGTCGCGGTCGCGCAACGCTCACGCAACAAGATCACATGAACAGCGCTGCATCTAAAGCAGCGCTAAATGTATTGAGCCTCTTGGGGGGGTAGGGGGCGCGACTTCAGTGGGCTCCCCCCTCTTTGACGTTTACATTGGAGTCGGTGTTCGCATTTTGCTTAAGCTGAGGATGCCATACAGCTTGGAAGGAGGGCCAAAGCAGGGCTGGACCTAAACGGTGTTATGGTGATTTCGTGGGCCGTTTTCGTTTCGACTTCGTTTCGCGGTAAAGGATCGAAGACAGACGACGGAAAACGAAAACAACACGAAAACGAAAAACAACGTTTAGGTTCAGTCCTGAGCCAAAGCTAACCAACATCTCAATCAAGTAGCAGAGCAACTCTTTTTCCATACAGCAGGGACATGATTCTGACGAAAGCCTCGAAACGTCTTGGCCAGAGGTTAAGGTTTGCACGCTCTCTCACTCCTCCCAGGGAGGGAGGGTGGGAGCCGAAGACAGGCTATGGAGAGAGGGGGAGAGGGGGCAGGCAAGGGGGGAGAGCGGGGTTCCGATGTTAAAAC